ATATCTTATGAAGTATATAAGATATCTAATATAAAAAAAATATTTATAAGGTATCTTATAAACTTTAGGAGATATCTTATAAAGTATATAAGATATTTTATAAACTATGTAAGATATCTTATATATTATATAAGATAACTTATAAAACAAATTATATATAGTTTATAAGATATCTTATATAGTGTATATGATATCATATAACGTTTATAAGATATCTTAAATAGTTTATAAGATATCTTATATAGTTTATAAGATATCTTGTATAATTTATAAGATATATCTCATATAATTTTCTTTATACATGTTATATGATATCTCATAAACTATATGAGATATCTTATACTCTATATGAGATATCTTATAAACTATATAAGATATCTTATAAACTATATAAGATATCTTATAAACTATATAAGATATCTAATAAAGTTATAAGACATCTTATAAACTTTAGAAGATATCTTATAAAGTATATAAGATATCTTATAAACTATATGAGATATCTTATATACTATATAAGATATCTTATATAGTATACAAGATATCTGATATAATATACGAAGCAAAGTGGTAAATAGGGTAGAAAAATCAAAACTGTGAACAGATTCGAAATCACCAATATAAGTATGCAATTTATCAAGTACTTATATTATCTGCTCTTTGATCGGGTTGTTGTCTCTTTGACACATTCCCCATTTCCATTCTCAATTTTAATTGGTTAATATGACAATTACTGGGACCCAGCAGCCAAACGTGTGTTAACACACATCGCGTTCAAACACACTTACAATTAAATCAAACAAAGACTCCAACAAAAAAAAGATTTTGCAGCTGACAATACAGTCAGTATAGTAAAGCATAATTACTGCACAAGCCCTTTAACTGCCATGTAAATATATTTTTTTTTATTGCCGGAGATTTAATCTAGTGCGCACCAGTTTAGAAAAATCTGCGCACGAATACGAAACTCGTTCGCACGACTTTACAACTCTTGCGCACGACTTTCAAACTTGTGTACTGGACTTTCAAACTGGTCGCACGTCCATTAAAATATGATGCGGATGATTTTTAAACTCGTGTGCACGACCTTTAAACTTGTGCGCACGATCTTCAAAATGGTGCAATCAACTTTCTAAAACTGGTGAGCACGACTTTGAAATGCATGTACACCAGTTCGAATGTTGTGCGCACCAGTTTTTTTTAGAGTCATGCACACCTATTTGAAAGATCGTGTGCACCATTTTGAAAAGTCGATTAACCGTTTAACTCGTGTGCACGTCTTTTGAAACTCGTGCGCATCAGTTTGAAAGTCGTACGTACCAGTTTGAAAGTCGTGCGCACCATTTTTTAAATGAAGTGTTCACCATTTTTTAATGTCATGCACACGATATTTCAAACCAGTGCGCACCAGATTAAATCTCCGGCAAACGAAAATGATATTCCTAGAAATGTATAGGAGGTAAGATAAAAACACATAGGTATACATAATGATCGTTTTATGGAATAAGACAGAGACGACAAGCATGTACAATTATGTATGCTTTAAATTAACGCAACCAAATAATATTGCATGAAAGGTCACATATGGGCCTATATAATCCAATAAGAAAACAGTCATGCAATAACCAACAACACTGAAACCAATATTGCATGGGTAAACTCCGCCTCCTTAGGAACAAATTACGCCTGCAAAAAAGCACACATAACGTAACTTCTCTAAAATTAACGAAGAGGGAATATTCCTGCCATGCTTCTTAAAATATTTAGACACTGCTGTTTATTATATTTTTCCGCCAGACGATGATTTTTTTATTTTTTGCTGAACGGAATGTGGGCTTGTCATTCAGGTCACAAATCATTTACAGCGTTCGAAAGTTTATTTGTTAAACTCGGAATACTATGCTAATAATATAACATCTTTCACGATCCGATTGCAATTATAAAAAAGAAGATGTGGTATGATTGCCAATGAGACAACACTTCACAAGAGACCAAATGACACAGAACTTAACCACTATAAGTCACCGTACGATGATGCAACAATGAGCAAAGCCCATACCGCATAGTCAGCGTACAAAAAAATGAACGAAAAACAAATATGTAACACATCAACAAACGACAACCACTGAATTATAGGCTCCTGACTTGGGACAGGCACTTACATACAGAATGTTGCGGGGTTAAACATGTTAGCGGGATCCCAACCCTCCCCTAACCTGAGACAGTGGTGTAACGCTGCAACATAAGAACGAACTATACAAATCAGTTGAAAAAGGCTTAACTCATCAGATGGATACAAATAGACATACATCTAACAAAAACACAGAGTGAACGTGGCCGGGTACTTGTACATCCCAACAACAAAAAGACACTAAGTACAGATCTAAGAGTACTCGCAGTTACTGACAGCTAGTTCAAAGCCAATAACAACTAATAAAAAAATCATGCATCTAAGACTAAATTATCAATCATTACACATCCAACATCTAATGGATTTAGTGTAAAGACGTCATAAACAGTCAGAGAAAAAAACATGACCTTGTGCAATGCCAAGATACAGGTAACGACAGATTGTAGATCCATGAATGTGCATATGTATATAATTACATTAGATGTAGGTTTCATTATAATACATTATTCTGATTGGCTACACTGCAATCTCGCGTTATTCCGTAATCAACTTCATTACACAATGAAATTTATCATTCATGATGACACGAGGTCCCACAATAAAGTGCACAGGTAAATTAAATAAAAAATTAATAAAAATCGTGTTTTCATGATCCTAGCTAAAATAAAATGTAATTATAAGTATTGAATGCTTCTTTTTGTAACTTCATAGGGTTGTAAAAGCGTTGACCGTGCGCACATTTTTAGAATAAAATGTACTTCGGTCAACGCTTTTACACCCCAATGAAGTTACAAAAAGAAGCATTCAATTCTTAAATAACAATAATATTAAGTCTGCTTTTAATTTACTGATAACAAAATCAATATCATTACCAATAAAAACAATATTCAAAGATCTAATTACAGTGTTGAATTGGTAACCTTTTAAAATAAGTTTATTTAAAGGATCGTTTCTAAATTTACGGGCACGGTAAACAACATCTCCGTAAAAATGAGGATGTGCTATCCCGTTTGAAATAAGTTTTCGCAGGTACAAGTAAACTTCAAAACCAAATCTTTATATCTACGGAAGAATTTAGTAAAGGTTTTAAATAATTTGTGGTAACGAAATCCCGGACTTAATAATCTACCAGTATTACATAGATTACGTTCATTAAAATCCAAAACGTCACAACAGATACGGGCATAACGAGCGAGTTGTGATATATTAACACCGTAAGATGGTGCTAAAGTAACATCACCATCCAAAAAAGGAAAATTAACAATAGGGAACGAAAAATCGTCCCTTTTGTCGTAAATTTTAGTGTGGAGTTTCCCGTGTTAAACTGAAATATCTAAATCTAGGAAAGGACAGTTATTACCGTTTACATTTGAATTATTTAGAGTAAGTTCCTTTGGGTAAATTTTGGCAGTATATTTAGAAAATTCTGGATTATTTAACGAAAAAATATCATCAAGATAACGGTATAAGTGCCATATGTATATAACAATAATATTGAGTTTTCTTTTAATCTACTGACTTGACCACCGTTAGTTACTCTTTCACGATCATTTTTCTCCGTATACTGAATGGCACCCGTGGTTTAGGATGTATTGAGTTGCGGTTTAATAAATAATGACACACGGATACACATCATGGCAAACAGACAGAAAGACTAATGGACGGACGGATATGGTGATTCCCCCAAAACTTTGTTTGCAAGGATAAAAATATACATAGGATACAAACCGTGACAAGTTGTATACTAAACACGAAAGGGGGTTTCTACCCAGGATAAAGGGGGGTTCCAACCATATTTTATCATCAAAAGCATTGATCGTCAAAAAGGGGGGTTCCAACCCCCGGAATCCCCCACCCCTTGGATCCTCCACTGTTCTTTTTAGTTTGTTTTCATGTTGATTAGAAGCTATTCCATTGACATATACTCAACAAAGAAATGTGAGGAAAAATATTAACCTTAAGTAACATTTTCATGTTTTTAACAATAAATACAATTGCACATAAATCATGAAGTCCAATCCTGTAAATGAAAATTTTTAATCGCTTTTTTGTTTTGTTGTACACATTATTCATGGATGACAACGTAATAGGATGTAGGATATAAATGTAGGCCACAACACATTTAGATTTTGGACGTGATTTTCTTTTCCAATACATTTTTAAAAGTGGACTCAGACCACATCTTCCTATATCTATCAGATGCAGACATATAATGATGTGGAACTTATTTTAGTGTACTCATTATATCGCATATCAGAAGCAGATGCAGATCCAGGATTTTGAAAGGAGGGGGAAGGGGGGGGGGGGGGGGGGGAACGAGACAACGTTTGGAGTGGGACAAGTGAAAAGTCTATGTGTTCATCATATATGTAGCAGGCCCCATTAGGGGGACGCCCCGTGCCTCGAGCCCCATAAAACAGCCTCTGCAGAAGTACCAATGTTGTTCGAGACTCTTTTAAGTCTTTTAAATGCATGGAATGATTGATATTGTAATCTCAGTCCTGCTCTTTTCACTCTATTTGGTCCTGCCTTTTTTAAATTAGTTTATCCTGACTTTTTTTACATACATTGTCATCCTGCTTTTTTTTTTTTTTTGCAAAGTTGTTCATATGCATCCTGTCTTTTTTTTTACTCAAAACTCCAGTCCTGCCTTTTTTTCAAATTTCACCCTAGCCCCCCATAAAAATCATATGGTAGCTCCATTAGTTATTAGGTGCTACCCCTTTAATTCATTACCATTTTTTTGTCTAAAACTGTTTGCGTCAAAATTTAGTACTAGGAAATCCAAAATGTAGTTGAGTCGGCCTTAATTTCATCTTTGACGTTTCATTTGACGCGCGGAATGACGATCATGCTTGTTGTGATAAATTTACCTGTTACATAAATATTAGACAGAGAATGAAAACAGTATTTTACCTGTAAACATGTTACGGAACATTATATGCATTCTATATTTGTTACTAAACATTGAGGTAAATACATATTTTTGAAATTACACTTTTTATTTGATTTGTTAACATTGTTTTACATAATTACTTACACAAATGTTACATTAACTGAAATCGAAAAAATATTCATTTCTTTCGACCCGTACTTTTACTTTTTGAGCGTACCATTATTGATAATTTTTTTTCGAATAAGAAAATTGTCTTTGTTGATACTGAGTCTGATAATACGATAAGACTAATTTATTCTGTCCATTTAACTGATAGTAAGAATTCTGTATCAATCATGTGTACAGATTTGAGATATTTTTAATCGGACTTTTACATTTCTTCATGTATTGCTGCCCTTCATCTCTAAATAACTATGTATGAGGCCTTTAACACAGAGTAAAAGTTCACATCTCACCAACGCCTTCAGGTCGATAACTCTATATTAGATTTGTATATTGAAAATGACAGGCGCTATGTAAAAGTATTATTGTTTATCTGAAGCCCGCATCCGAGTGCGGGATTTTCTCGATGCGTTGAAAACGGTGCCGGGCCTTGGGCTGTTTTCTTTTTTTTGTCGGGTTGTTGTTTCATTGACACATTAATCAATATTATAGGCTATTACAGGAAAACTTGAGTTTTTGTATTAATTGATTGAAAACGTAACTTGACATATGTAATTAGACCTAAACAAAAGTTTTGTTTTCCCATGTTATATGCCTATTTGTAAATATAATAGAAAAACAAAAGATATGGGTTATCCATTTATGTTTATATGTTTTGAAGTTTAGTGTGACGTCCATTTTCACCGAACTAGTACACAATTTTGTTAGGGGCCAGCTGAGGACCACCTCCGGGTGCGGGATTTTATCGCTGCGTTGAAGACCCATTGGTGGCTTCGGCTGTTGTCTGATCTTTGGTTGGGTTGTTGTCTCTTTGACATATTCCCCATTTCCATTCTCAATTTTATGACACTAAATTAGTACAAGCACAGCGACAAAACACACACAAAGCAAAGGAACAGCGCTTTTATCGCTGTTCTTCATTCCAAAGTCACAGTGAGTAATTCATTTTACATTTTTACATTTCAGTCAGTGTCATCTGTATCGAGTAAGTGTTATTTAAACTACGTCACAATGTATTACTTTAGTTCCGGGATACGGATTTTAGTTGAATCTGTCATGTGACTTCCATCACCACGTGATAAAAATGTAGGCATCGTCACTTCCAAATTTTCGGCACATGTTGAGCAAACGGGTGAAAAATTTGATTTTATTCTGCACAAAATATTTGGGAAATTTAAATCTAATAAGATGACCACCCTCCCTCAGTCGTACGGGGATCAAGATTACGTGGGATTTTCTTCGTAAAAGAAAATAAACACACATTAAAACAATATAATTGTTGTTTAGTTTGTTTTTGTTTCATAAATGTATGTGTTTACATGATTAGCAACTACACTCATCATTTGTACCAGGATTAAAATTTATACGTCAGACGCGCTTTTCGTCTACAAAAAACTCACCAGTAACGCTCGCATAAAAAAAGTAAAAAGGCCAAATAAAGAACGTGTATAAAGAGCATTGAGGACTCAAAATTCCGAAAGGTTTTGCGAAATACAATTAAAGTTATCTATTCCAGGGGTAGATAATCCTCAGCATTTTGAAAAATTGAAAGTTTTATAAACAGTTAATTTATAATTATGGCCAACTTTATAATTATCAGTGATAATTCTTGTCTGACTCAACACAAAAGTGCAATTAAAGAAATGACAGCATGTCAAACTCGAATCAACAGATGATGGTGGGATTTATAGATTACACTGGGGCATCAGTTTGTTTTTTTCTATTAATCCGTTGAAGAGTATTAATTCAGTAATACATGTCTACGGGTGCGGGATTTTCTCGCTGCGTTTTAGACCCATTGGTGACCTTAGGCTGTTTTCTGCTCTTTGGTCGGGTTCTTGTCTCTTTGACACATTCCCGTTTCCATTCTCTGTTTCATGTATTGATTGGTCTTCCATCAGCTTTGAAAAGTAGTACAATAATGGAAAACTTACTAAAGGAGAAATTTAATACATTAATTTTTATTCACTTTAATTTTGTAAATTTATCTCAGCACACATGTTATCCAATTGTTAATTTCAGTTAAAAGACCACCGACAGATTATATCTGCCCCGAGGTTAAATGTAGTGGCAACTGTCCACGCGGCTACACTTATGATATTCATGGCTGTAATACTTGTGAGTGTAAACCTACATGTAAGTATACACAGATACATACATGATATTCATAGATGTAATACTTGTGACTGTAAATCTTCACGTAAGTATACACGAACACACCCATGATAGTTATGGATGTAATACTTGTGACAGTAAACCTTCACGTAAGTATACACGGATACACACACGATATTCATGGATGTAATACTTGTGACTGTAAACCTTCACGTATGTATACACAGAAACACCAATAATATTCATGAATGTAATACTTGTGACTGTAAACCTTCACGTATGTTTACACGGATACGCACATGATAGTCATTGTTGTAATACTTGTGGCTGTAAACCTCCAGATATGCATACACGATACACACAGGATAAGAATAGATGTAATACTTGTGACTGTAAACCTCCAAGTATGTATGCACAGATACACACATGATAATCATGCATGGATGTAATATTTGTGACTGTAAACCTCCACGTATGTATACACAGATACAAACACGATATTCATGGATGTAATATTTGTGACTGTAAACCTTCACGTATGTATACACAGATACACACATGATATTCATTGTTGTAATACTTGTGACTGTAAACGTTCATGTATGTATACACAGATACACACATGATATACATGAATGTAATACTTGTGACTGTAAACCTTCACGTATGTATATATCAAAATAAGAAGATGCGGTATGATTGCCAATGAAAAACTCTCCACCAGAGACCGAATGACATAGAAGGTTATATCAACTTTAGTTCACCGTAGGATCTTCAACAATGAGCAAAACCCTTACAATACATGTCTGAGTTCACTGAGAATATAATTGAGAGTCTATCATTAAAAGGAGTTTATGTTAATGCCTTTTTATCAAGTCAAGTGACTCCCATACAAAAGCATTTCCAGAAGGCTAGTTTTCTTTCCTTGAAAAGCCTACTCCAAATTTTCTTCATTTGCTTCTTTTTGTAAATTGATTTCATTCCACTCTTTTGAAGATTTCTTGTGCATTTCTGCTTGTTTCATTTGGCGCTGTTTTTCATATATATATATGGCCATCTTACTTTCACCTTACAAATTTTATAGCAATTATAGAACCTATAAGTTGTGGACCTGTTTGTAAGATTGGCTGTATATATTGGAATGTATTAGATGCACATGGATGCCCAACATGTCATTGTAAGCCAAAATGTCAGTATAAAATTCTATCTGGTACTGATGTACAATGTTTGAAACAAAAAAGATAAAATTAAAGTTTGCTTCACTCTAAACCCTTTTATGAATTAATCTTCATTACACATGTTACACAAAATGAGAGCAAGAGTAAACATTTGCATGGAAAGCTTTAAAATCTGTATAAATGAATTAAACAATTTACATCGTGTTTTAAAATAGCATTGAAAGTTCATTATCTGATTACGGAGAACTTATTCTCCGAATACGTGATTGAACGAGGATCTTACATACCCCAAGTCACGACGATCTGTAAGACATAATTCACGAGGAACACCCGGTTAAACAATAACGGATAATAGAAGCTCGTTCAACATTTTCTGTAAGCGTTCGTCGATTGCGGTAATGATGAATTAACTTCCAATGGTATTGTTTACGCGCTGTGAAATCAAAGCGTGTAGATGTCAATAAGTTTGGTGCTTGTGAGAGTTAAAGTATACTTAAAAGTTGCTGAAAATTTAATAAACGGAAATATTCGGTTCATGGCATTGATATCATAATTAGTTCTGAAGTCAACTTAAAAGCTCAAAATGGATATCCCGGATGTTGGAAACAAACTTTGATGAGATGCTTTATCTGGGACATGATATAAACATATGGTACTTTTAGATAATGAACCATTCTCCATTTTGTTATAATGAATAGTGCTATCGAAATGCAGGATTCAAAATGAAACCACGAATGCACTTGATTGAAATATAGCTTTATAATTCTTATATGATTTGCATATTAGGGAATACGTTGATATGATTGGTCGAGAGGATTTCCGGTAGATGTTCTTGACGTTGTTTATTTTTCGATAGACGAGGTCGACCGAACTTCTTTTTTGTAACCAATGTAAACAAGATAGCGGCGATAATAACACAATCCGGCTCGACGTTAAAATATCTATTTTCACTTCGCGTTAATCATTAAATTAAATAATAAACACAAAAGAGTTTTTGTAGTTAATTTTAATCAGAGAGCAAATTTCATGTAGTACATATTTTTGCGTTAGCCAACAAATATATTCATGCGCCAGGCCAATTCAATGACACAAATATACAATTTACGTGTGATAGAGGTTACGAGTGTGGAAGAATAATATTTATATATATAATAATTTATTAAAGACTTAAGACAAGATTCGTTGAGAATGTATTTGCAGACCATGACATGAAGTTATTTGTTATTTTTATTTCAGCATTTCAAACTGTGGTTGGCAAATGTCCAAAAAGTTCTAAGTCAAATATAGAATGTCCCACTAAACTAAGTCATAGTTGTGATACTGACTATGATTGCAGTGGAGGAAAGAAATGTTGCACTTTCGGATGTACTAGGAAGTGTATTTATCCAAAGCACGGACCGTTGATATATCCTCCGGCTTGTGGACGAGTCTGCTTTATATCATGTCCGTACGGAAAGGTCGTAGATAGCCGTGGTTGTGAAACATGCCGCTGTAAACCTAAACCCAGACCCAGACCAATACGTAAGTGTAAACCTAAACCCAGACCAATACGTAGGTGGAAATCTAAACCCAGACCAATACGTAACTGTAAACCTAAACCCAGACCAAAACGTAAGTGTAAACCTAAACCCAGACCAATACGTAAGTGTAAACCTAAACCCAGACCAATACGTAAGTGTAAACCTACACCCAGACCAATACGTTAGTGTAAACCTAAACCCAGACCGATACGTTAGTGTAAAAAAATTCTCCGTTTCAGAATCTAAAGGATTGTGGGTAATTTCATTGTTCGTACCCCAAAATGAAAATTATGTCATGTCATTTGTTGACTACAATTGCTTAAGACACTTTAAGCCAATCACAAACGGTTTTGGTGTGCGCTTTTGAAAATATTGCCCAGAATTCATTAGATTCTGAAACGGCGAATTAATCATTACTATATGTGTACAAGACAAACAAACTTCAAATATGTTTAACCCCGCCGCATTCCGAATGTGCCTGTCCCAAGTTAGGAGCCTGTAGTTCAAGGGTTGTCGTTGGTTCATATCTCACATACTGTTTTTTGTAAATTGTTTTGTTATAAATTAGACCGATAGTTTTCTCAATTGAATGGATTAATATTTTTCATGTCGGGGACTTTTATAGCTGACTATATTGTATTGGTTTTTCTTATTGTTGAAGGCTGTACGGTTGCTTATAATTGCTTACATCCACTTCATTTTAGCTTTGTTTGATAGTTGTCTCAGTAACAACCAAACCACATCTCCTTATTTTTATATTCAAATGTAGATGCTTATCTCATTACCGACTTTTTTCATGATAACTGATACCCTTCCGGAGCATATGATAAACATATCGGTTTTGATTCGATGGTCTTGTGGAAACGAGCTCTCTACGAATGCATGAGACATAAAACAATGATTTTAAAAATGTAATTCGCTGTTATTCATACACCTATCCCGAGTCAGTTTGGAAAAGGAGGAGGGGGGGGGGGGGGGGGGGGGGGGGGCAAGAGCACATTAAGACCGATGGGCTCAAAATAAGAAGGATATATTAGGAGTTATTCATATCGCACTAACGTGCAATCTAATTAAAATATAGATCTATCGTGAAGGAGATGCAAAAGATACCAAAAGGACATTCAAACTCATAAAAAGAAAATAAACTGACAAATCCATAGAAAAAAAAGGAAAAAGATCAAAAGACAAACAAGAGTACACTAAACAAAACATAAAAAAAAACTAAAGACGGAGCAACACGAACCCCACCAAAAACCGGTGTGTGATCGCAGGTGCTCCGGAAAGGTAAGCAAATCCTGCTTCACGTGTGGCACACGCTTTCTTGCTCATGTAAGTTCAAACATGATGACACTCCTAGCTTGCGCCGAAGTATGAGTAAAATTAAATCAGATAATTATGTATTTATATTGTTATTAGATCGATTAACGTGTTACTGTCCTGATTAATATTTACCACTTGTCGTATGGTAAACAGTCCTTAATCAATCAGTCGATAGGGTGTGTGTTGTTGGTTGGCATGTAGCTGCCACATTATTATTAACTTAAAACTAGTTGGAATTGGGGCGTTTTACATTTTGGCGTTTATTTGGATTGGAATATTAAAAAAAAGGCACATCTTAGAGGGCCTAGATTAGGGGGGGGGAGTAATTAACCATTATCTTCTTTTTAAGGCATTTTTCTTTACTTCTAAAACTAAATAAAATTCTCATGAACATGATTTTTTTCTATAATTGATATGCTGTTCATCGTTCATTTCTGTAATCAGTATTTTATTAATTCATTTATTTTCAACATTTTTTCTATTATTCTTTTGCATCATCTTATTCTCTATTCTTTATATTTTTTGTCATTTTTCTGTGTTAATTATTTTTTTGGCAATTATTATCTGGTCTGTAAACACCATCCAGACACCCATCTTATGTTACCATATAACATTTGCATTTCCACTTTGTTAGATTTGCTACTCACGTACATAACGAATAAGGAAATAGGAAAACGTATCTCACTGATGATGATCTGTTCTCCAATTTTTCTGTTCATTATCTTTATATATTTCAGCTTATCCATGTCCTAGGATTATGTGTCCATTAAGACATTGTGACCATGTTGGCGCCCCTTCGATAGATAGACATGGATGTCCAACGTGCGGATGCAGGTAGGTTATTACACACAATATAAGTATACCATTGAAAGTTCATTATATCAAAGAAGATCAACATATCATGTGATTCCTAGTCACTATTTGGTCGTATCAGAATCTAAAGGACTATGGGTAATTTCATTGTTCGTACCCAAAAATGAAATAATGTCTCGTTGAATTTCCTTTGTGTATACCCTTTTAAACCAATCACGACGTTTTGGTGTACGTTTTTTTTTTCAAATATTTCCCAGAATGCATTAAATTCTGAAACAATGATTTTTTTTTCTGTATGGTTAACATATGGTTCATGTGAAATAAACCCCACCGGACACCTGTCAGGTAATTGAACAAATATATACCTCGGTTCATAATGTTTTATCTTTCAAATGAACAAACGAAACGCGCGGAGTTTTACGTTTTGATTCAATAATAAACGGTAAGTGGTAAGTACATGATATAGATGTTTGAAATTCTGAGACAACGGATTTATTTATTCTGTATAAAGAAAAAAAACTACACTGTCAAGAAATTAAACTATAATTTTTTTTCATTTACAAACATGGCGATAAATATGCATGGCAAATACGCTATGGTGGCAAACATTAACAACAAAGAAAAGATCAATCGGCAATCCTCGGGTGAATCCGCTACTCTTTTTCGGTACGGAATCGGCCGAGTTGTGACGAATGAGAAAATATGTGTATGTTAACAGCATATAAAGCACAAAAAAATACACGACCGCTTCCAAAACGAGTCTACAAAGATTCAAAGGAACAATAGTCTTGTTCTCTCCTTTGTAACATACGAAATCTGATACAAATATACTTCAGCTCATAATGAACAATGAAACATGGGATTGTGCGTTCGGATTCAATAATAAACTGTTATGCAGAGGTATTTGATACAGGTGTCAGAGCCAAACAAATAAAGGACAGGCAACCAGTATAAGGAAACAATCTGCCTTTGTAAAATATTTAATGAAAACTTCAAATATAAACTATTATTCTGTTTATTTTTCTTGTAGATAGTATGTGTGTAAAAGGTTACTTACTGTTTGAGAATCAAGAACTCTAAGAAGATTTATAAAACTTGTGCAGTGGACAGTTGTTTAACTTTCTTTTTTTCCCATTTCAGTGGTTGTATGTTACTTTATCTTCATGTTCTTTGTTGACTTTTTTTATAATACTTGTAACAACTTTGCTGTTGTTGTTATTCTTTAAATTGTTTTTCTTCTGTGTTTTACAATTAACACAGGTTTAAATGGCTGCCTTTATGTCAAATATGTTAAGTCAAGCATGTTATTACCATTAACTGTTCACCATTCGACCTGGAATAAATCGCATTTGACGAGGATCTAGATGGAGGTCCTTCATTTCTGTATTCTTCAATTGTTCAGGACATATTTTTCTTTTCTTTATATTTTTACCCATTATTCTATATTATATTTATTTTAACAAACTATTATACTCTAATGTTTCCTTTTTTGCCAATATTACTCTATTCTTTCTTTTTAAGCCTTTTTTTCTGTAGTATTGGTGCATTATTCTCTATACTATAAACCCCATCCAGACCCTCTTTGATAATGGTATAATAGTTTCATAACTGAGTGCTCCGAAAGTCAAAGAAGGAAATAATAAGCAGTCACAAAAACAACAATAATTTAGTGGCTACGACAGACCTACCCCCCCCCCCCCCCCCCCCCCAAAAAAAAAAGGTCAACCAAAATCATGTGCGTAGATGGCTTTATCTGTACTACTACAAATTTTGGGTCAAATGATTCCTTGTAAGCAGTGTCCTGGAAATAAACATCACCTGGCATTTTGTACCATCTGGCTGATATATATTTAATATGCAAGTGCTTTTTGGAGAACAAAATTTATATATGGAAAAAATTGATGTGTTCTCTTGTGGCGTGATGTTCTGTACACACACTTCCTAGGAGTATGTCAAACTACGATACTGAGGGTCTGGATATGGTTTACAGAATACAGAATAATGGGCAGAAAAAAGATAAAAAGCAGAGAAAAATAGGCAAAAAAATAGAGAATAGAGAATAATCAATGAGGTGCTAAAATATAAAATGTAGAGAATAATAGAATAATGGGCAAAATAGATAAAAAATAGAGTAAAATGATATAAAAAATAAATTAAAAAAATGAGGGACCCCCATCCAGACCCTCATATAATAGGATTCACATTCCTTATTTTCTATCGTCGGTTTTCCACGTGTCACTTGAAACACAAAAGGGGAATCACATACGGATGCAAACATCAACAAAACCGCTTCAATGATTTAGGTTATTTACCGACACAAACATGTCGATTGTCTGTGGTCATAAAAGAGGGTCTGAATGGGGGTACATCATTTCTGTGCATAAGGCTATTTTTTTTAATATATTTTAACATCTAATTATTCACTATTCTTTATTTTCTGGGCCTATTTATCTCTATTCTTTATTTACTTCATTATTCTCTACATTTTGTCTATTGTTCTCCAGAGGCAGATTAAGGGGGTGGGATGGGGTGGGGGTAGGATAGGGGCCCTGAACACTCTGGTGGAACTTCTCATAATAAATGCATATACTTTTTATCAGAATCCCTCCAAACGTTGGCTTTCAAGGCCCTCAGTCACCATCTGGTTAAAATCATGGACTCGCATCTGTAATCTCTATATTGTGGTAACCTTATCAAGACCCTAGTACAACTGTCATCAAATAAATGAACAACTTTGAACCAAAAGGATGTATTATGTTTATACTCTTTTTATATAAATACAATATCAATACAAAATACATTTTACCATACACAAAGTCTAATGCCTGCTGAACTTAAGTCACATTTTTACAAGAAGATTAATTTCTCAAATTGTTTTGATTAATTTAAGTTCATTTGTAACAACGTAACATAATTATGTAATGACGAAAAACACATGTATGAGTAGCGGATTCTGTTCGCATAAGGATGGTTCTATAGGGATACACTTCACATCAATACACTTACAAAAAGTATATATATTATATATTTCACTTATGAAATCTCTGACTCTAAGATCACATTTCTTGACACTGCTTCACAAGTGAAAGATGGCATCATATTTACAGATCTGTATTGCAAGCCCACAGACAAACATTAATATTTTTCTTCTGTAACCGGAAAGCATGATTCTTCTTACAAATCATCTTTGTCTCCACCGGGACTCGAACCCGAAACCTCTGTGTTACACGGCAGCGCATATACCGACTGAGCTAAAGACGTACTTTCTTAGCTCAACCGCTTACGGCTGACTAAGTATGTACCACATTTTATAAGGGAAGCAAACCCGTCACACTTCCCCCACCTCAAGAGTCATCATACCATTATGACTCTCACATCACATACCCTAGCTAGAATTTCTCTCTAACCACCGTGGGTTTTTTTAGTTGGGCGCCAATGTAACCGGAGAGCATGATTCTTCTTACAAAATCATCATCGTCTCCACCGGGACTCGAACCCGGGACCTCTGTGTTACAAGGCAGCGTGTTTACCGATTGAGCTAAAGAAGTACTTCCTTAACTCAACCGCTTACGGCTGACCGAGTTTCTACCACATTTTCTAAGGGAAGCAATCCAGTCACACTTCTATGAGTTGTCATCCTAAACATTGCACCTAGAACATTGCCTATAGCCAGGCCATGCGAATAAAACGAATTTGCTACACCTATGATACTGCAAAAAGGCGACTACAAGAACTTCGCGGTCACATAAAAAGTCGGGACTTCAGAAGAAAAGACATTGATAAAGGCTCCTCTCGTACCAACAACATCAGCCGAGATGAACTTTTACAATATAAAGACAAATAGGTCGACAAAAGAGTGCCGTTTGTGCTGACTTATATTACCATCCTGAATTTGACAAGTTATCACACCTTATCCGTGAAAATTGGAAAGAAATCTAAAAATATCCTACACTATCCAAGATCTTTCCCGAGCCACCTGTACTGACTTTCCGTAGGCCCAAAAGCCTTAATGAGTTGCTGTTGAGGGCTGATTTTTACTCTAAATCTGGCTCTTCGTCTGTGGACTCATGCAAGGAATGCGGAAACAGACGATGTCTGACTTGCAAGCAATTAATATTGAATACCCAGGCTTTTAGCAGTCACTCCATTGGTACGGAATACACCATATGTCGCAATGTAAATTGCAAGACTACAAATACTGTGTATCTCCTACAGTGGAAATGTGGTAAACAGTATGTTGGCGAGTCAGTACAGCCATTTCATAAACATATGAACGGCCATCGTAGCGACTATGAATGCCAGACCTTTCTCTCAGTCGACATTTAACATCCCAAGGCCCTACTAAGACATACCTTAATCGACTAACCAGTACAATCATAGACCACAACAGTACTTGGTTTAGGGATGATAGACCCGCTCAGGAAAGATTATGGATAATAAAATAAAAAAACTTTGGCACCAAATGGGATCAATGAAAATGTGTAGTTCTAATTCGCGCAGTTGTTTTTCAATTGGGTTATATTTCATGTTACTACGCAGTCTCTGTTGCTATTCATATACCTTTGTCAACTTAAAAATTCTAGAATTATACCAGTTTAAATCGCAGGGTGATATTCATTTGGGATTTACAAGTACGCAGCCACGTCCAATTACTTAACCTGTTTTAAAATTTATTTTTTTAAATCATTATCAAACTTTTGAAACTTTAGAGATGTTCATATCGCACATTACTATGCAGTCTTTGTTATAAATACCTCAACTACGTCATTTTTTGAAATTTTAGAATTGTACAAGCGTTGTTGTCAGTCTATGGAAGAAGCGAATCGATAAAAAACGTTTCTTATATGAAAAAGCGATATTGTCTAATATGAAATTGTAAATATGCAGACGACACGCCATGCGGAAAAGTTGTTTTCGGCGACGAAAAATTAAGAAAATACCAACTTTAAACATCTCCTTTTTTATATTTAAAACATATTGTTCAAATACAAACAACAATTAAGTCTAAATATATACTCAATAGTTAGTTAAAAGCAAAAGCTTATGTCCGTTTAAAATTTTAAGTGCTGTATTTTTCTTATGTACACAAATAAACAAATGTTATAAATTCTAATATGAATGCGATACTTTTAAAATATGATAGCAGTATTTTTTTAAAGTCACTACAAGTAACATCGTATGTTAATAAGCAGTCTTAAGGTCATTGCTAAACGTCAAAATGTTTTTGGTAGCATCTTTCCAATTTCTTAATTTGTTTTTGAAGCAATATCAATCAAATAAAGGTTCATAAACATCATCGTAATCAAATAGCCAAGTATCAAAATTATTGTTCAAATATGTTACACCTATTAAATTTCTTTAAACAATACTTATCCGATATTCTCCCTACATGCATGAAACAATGAAATTAACTTGAGCCAAAGATGTATCGTTCTGTCCTCGATCAATTTGATTCGACAAAATCTAACCTGTATTTTTCAATCTCGTTTTTTATATAGATTAGACCTTTGGTTTTCCTGTTGAATGGTTTTACACTAGTCATGTTTGGGGCTCTTTATAGCTTGCTTTTCGGTGTGAGCCAAGGCTCCGTATTGAAGGCCGTACTTTGACCTATAATGGCTTACTTTTAACAAATTGTTACTTGGATGGAGAGTTGTCTCATTGACACTCATACCACATATTCTTATATCTATGAATCTTAAAAATTTCCCCTCAAATAACTTCTTTCCAGTCTTCCAAAACCTGATACTACTTCATTGTATCGGATTGCACATGCATTTTCAGTAGTGAACCAGGTAACAACATCAAGAAATAACTGATACGATATGCTGTTAAAAGGGAGAAGTTTATTGGCAAGGCATCTGGAAAGAAGCGTACAAGCGACAAACTGGATAACATTTACAGAGATATCGAATTGCCAACAAGAAAAGTCTTTGATATCCAACAAGAACTGTTTTTCCTTGTCAACAAATTTTTGATGTTAATAATAAAATACATCTTCTGTTTGACAACATGTTTCATTCGTGGTATCTGAAGTTGTTTTATTTATTGTCCGAGGCTGCTCAATTGGATTTTCATAAGTTGTTTTAAGTTTTTTATTTTGATGACTAATGGTATCTTCAAAGTTCAGGACAACAGTAATTGTACATTTTTCTTTGTTTGGAATTATTATTTTTACATTTGAATATTCATTTCCAGGTGTAA